CAATTTTCCTGAAAATTTCTAGAGACATTTTCTCCTAACACACAAACATTTTGTAGAATTTCATAAACTTTTGTCAAATGGCATAGAGGTTATTAATGTTCAAAGTGGGGGTGAACAAAATCTTGTCTCCCATAAGCACACTTCATATTAACGCATACAGAAAAACACCCTAAATTTTTTCATTTCTCGATGTTTCAATGTGCCCCGAGTCAAAAGATGTAAATTCAACCCGACAGTCAGATTCAGCGGCTGAGTTTTCAAAGGTGAAACTAATTGCCGCTGCAGAGAACCTACTTTTAATGGAGAATGTAAAAGATTAAGTCTACGTCGAAGTTCATGCCTGCTATTCATAAATCTCTTCTGAAATTTTACTGAAATTGAACTTGGCTTATTTAATCGGTACCAGAGATAAGAATATTGTAGCAATAAGAATGCTGAACCAGAGGCTTTGATGTTTTATAAAGTAGATAATGTGATAAAACATTTCATTGTGTAGAGCGTCAATGGCGCACCCAGAAGGGGGCTAAAGAACCCTGGCACCCTGCAAAGAAAAACAAGAACAAACACTAGAAAACTTTTCCAAAATTTTTTTTTTTTAATTTATATTGTGTGGTGTCTTCTTTTTCTATAAGTATTTCTATAAGGTAATTCATAAGTAGTATTACTTATGAATTAGCGATCACATAAGATGGGAATTTTATCAAATTCGCACTAAAACCTTTTTTTATCCGTTCAACTCGGCTCCCCCAATATTAAATCCTGAATGCGCCACTGTACAGAGGACTAATAAATTATCAATATATCAAAACTTGAAGCGAAGGAATTTCTACACTCTTCTTGACGTGCGTTTTTTTTCGTATGTCCAAATACAAACGTTGTTTTTATAAAAAAATCTAGCAACGCGAGTTGCGTAACTTTCCCGGCTGTTATGAGTCTTTATTTAAAAAACTTTTATATTATTAAGCAGATATTAAAATTGTGTGTGGCGCCATCTGTTATCAGATTTGTTATAAAAAATTTTCTATTTTTAATTACTATAAAATGACAAAAAGCTTAATTTTGAGGGTAGGGATGAGTTTTATAAAAAAAAAATTATAAATGTTAATAACAAATAAAATCTTCATTAAGTTCTTCCCTTACGAGATACATGACCCCCTCTATCGCCCCACCCTGTCGATCTTTCACCACCAAAATTTAATGTCACCAATGCCCCTCATATACAAGCCACCATGCCAATTTTTTTTTCTTAATCTTTACCCCATCTTGAAATATCAAGCGAAATAGACACCAACAAACACACACACAAACATCCACGGAATTTTTTGCTGTTTTTATTTATTTTTTGGATTCAGGAGATCTCAAAACGTGGAAATTTGCAAAAAACTCGGAGGGTCAAATTTGACACTATTCTCATACTTTCTCTTGTTATGTATACATAACAGCAGGGAAATAAAAAGTAGGAACGCACTAAATTGAAGTTTGGCTGTATCAACGACTTAGAATATAGTACATAGAGTGGCTGTGCCATGGTTACAGTGCTCTTGGTGGCAACGACTTGTACTATCGACGAGTTAGAATATTCCAGCCGGTTGCCTTTACACAATACAAATGCCACACTCCCTTGACTAAAAAGAAAATGGTGGACATGTATTCAATTTTTCTCAAACGTGGTGTCACTTCAGCCACTCTATGTAGTATATTCTAGCTCGCTGGGCTGTATATACTAATATAAATTATACGCTGTATACAACTATTACAGCAGATTATATTTTGACAGTGATAATTTTCTAGAAGAATTGCCAGAAGATCTTTTCGAAGGAATGGAAAATTTAGAAGTTGTTTATCTTAAAAATAACAAATTAACTTTCATACCAGATGCCATAATAAAACATGGCATTAAAACATTTTCTGTGCTCAGTGAGTTGTGAAAATTAATTACTTTTTGGAAATGTGTAATGAAATATTAAATATAATAATTAATATGAACATTTTTCTTTATGAAGTATCTAATATAATAATTTCTTTTTTCAGATAATCCTTTACAATGCCGTTGCAATTTAATGGAATTATGCAGAAGAAATGATTTCAGTAATTTCCATTCGCATTGCATTTATCTGAAATCAATGCAAACGATGATGATCTGTGAAAAAGAAACTAAGAATAAGCTAAATTGCAAATAATATTCCTTTCGAATTATGTACAAACGTTTATTTGTTTCTATTATAAAATAATTTAAACAATACATCAAAAATCCAAATGCCAAAAATTATCTCCACTCTTTCGTCTAGGCTCATTAATATTGCCTGGTCTTTGAAATTTCATAGTTTAACACTGATTTAATGGATCCAATCTTAGGCCGAATTTTACTTTTAAGGTTTTTAAATTGGAGAAAAAAATGCATTCATTGTTATTTCATACTTTTTGGATTACTGAATAACTTTGCAACTCAAATGTTCTTTATAATTATGGTATGTAAGATCTGTTTCAAGTTATCAATGGTTCCCAAGCAATTCTTTTATGTCAGTTTCTATAATATTTTATGCAAATATCTTTAACATTTAATAAACTTAAATAATATTAATTTACAGTACGTACCGGCATTATCTTGTTAAATTTTATATGGACACATGTATTGAATGCAATCTGACATTAAAAATGTACATCAAGTATAACTGACCTTATTTTAAAATCTTTCGTGTTTAATAAAGTCTTTTTTGATTTATTTATGGCGTCACTTATGCAAAAATATTAGCATAAAAATAGTTAAATCAGTGTTAAGTACAGTGCTGTGCGAATTAATGTGAACACATCATAATTAACACAATTTTGCTGTTTTTTCGCAGCTGACAACACGTTTATGTTAATTTTTTTTTACTGATTTGACAGTCAGTGAGTAATAAGACATACCAAGCTAAAGACGTGTTACATTTTGTTATTTTTTTTCGAATTATTGCGTTTTTGGTAAAGTTAAGCTGAACTGAGGTTTTATTAGCTTTTTTTTGAAGATGGATATTACTCCCAAAAAGCAAACTAAGATTGTTACTTTGAGTGAACACACATCAATGACTCAAAGAAATATTGCCAAGGAGTGTGATGTGAGTGTAGGAGCTGTAAACAAGATTTTGAAGCAAAAAAAGGGACACTGGGACAATTGAGGTGAACAGAAAAGGGAAACGTGGAAGGAAAAGAAAGACAACAGCAAGGGATGGAGCTTTTTTTTAATAAGGGAAAGTAAATTAAACTCTAGGAAAACCAGTCAAGAACTTCAACAAAACTTAGCACAAGCTAGAGTTATTGTTCATGACTCCACCGTACGAAAACGACTTATAGAAAGTGGAAGAAAAATGGTTAGATCTCTAAAGAACCAGTTATTGACTGTTGCCATGATGAAAAAACGATATGATTGGGCAAAAAAATACGTGTGCTGGACTGTTAAAGATTGGAGGAAAGTGTTGTTTTCAGATGAGAGCCATTTTTTGGTACAAGGACAGCAATCTTCTTATGTTAGAAAAAGTGACAACGAAAAACTTACGGCAGCTCATATTGATCAAACAGTTAAACATCCATTAAAGATATTCTGGGGCTGCTTTTCTTATAAAGGTACCGGATTCCTTGTGCCGGTCGAAGGCATGATGAACTCACAAAAATACAGAGACTTGTTAAAACAAAGATTGGAAGTTGAACTAGAAAAGTTGATGCCAACGATCAAGCAGTATTTCAACAAGACTCGGCTCCTTGTCATGTTTCCATGATCATGATTAAATATTTCAAAGCCAAAAAAAAATATCATGCCTGAAATGGCCAGGAAACTCACCAGATCTAAATAGTAAAAGCTAGACTTCATAAAACAGATTGCACAACAAAAACAAAACTAATAGAGGCTGTAATCCAGATATGGTTTTGAGACAAGCAAACAACAAGAAACTGTAAAAAAAAACTTATTGATTCTATGCCAAAACGTATTCAAGAAGTTATTAAAGCCAAGGGAGGACATATTTCATATTAAAACAATTTAAATTGTATTCATTTTTCGATTCTGTTCATCTTTAACCAATAAATGTTTTTTTTTTTTTTCAAAATTTTCACTTGTGTTCACATTAATTCGCACAATACTGTAAGTGAAAATAAGTTAATTATTTTAAATGAAATATTTGAATCAATTATCACCATAAAAAAACTATCGGAGGTCGTTTTTGACATCAGAAAGCAGCTTTAAATAACTTTACCGAAGGAAAATCGGTGCACTACAACTTTAGAACGATTAATTAATTTTGATAAAAAACTCCCATTAAAAAAACAAAAAAGCAATTAAGCCTTAATCGAACCTTATCAAAGGCTCATTAAAATCGCGATAAAATTCTGAAAAAATTTGGGGACCTAAAAAACATTCCAAAGATTCAAAAAAAAAAGTTATTAAAAAAAATTTGGGGGCCCAAACGCCCGCGTTTTTCGTAACGCTATGTAACTTGCCCGAGATATCTCGGGTAATGGGCTTAAGGGTACTAATGATACGTTTTGGTACAGCATACTCATAGGAAAACAAAGTCAAAGGAACCATACTTCTACGAGCGACCCTTTGCGAGATATAGTCCCAAAATTACTAAGACATATTCCTATGCTTTTTTCCTATATTAATACGCGATTATTTCCATTCTTCGAGTGAGTCACACAAGAAATTCATCTCGCATTTCAAATCAGTGAAGAAGAGTAACGTATGCTACAGCATTCATATTTCAAACTTAACATAGAACTACCAAAGCATCCGAAATGATTCAAGTTATTAAAAAAATAATAATTTGATCGCAATTAAAATTAAAATTTAGTTTAACAGTTAATTTGCCATTTAAATAAATTCAAAAAGAATTTAAAATCTTTAAAGACATAACATTTTAATTGAATAAAAGTCAATATATAAAGTAATAAATCAGAGGAATATAAAATCTCTCTTCGTTCATTTACAAACTTATAAAATTATTTGATAATTATAATTAATTTCTTACCATTATCTTCCTTCTTTTTTAACTCTTTCATCTTTTTTAAAAATCTGAAATAATTACAAAACATTAAATCAATTTAATATAAGAATTAGATGCTTTCCAAACACTTGAAAAGCTCTGTTTAAGTGAACAGCCTCAGCCATTTTTAATCTAACAGCAACTGAACTTTCTATTAAAAATCATTTAATTAATTAAACTTTTAAAAAATTAATTAATTTTTAGATACTTTATTTATAATATATGAAAATAAACATACCAATTTAACAGTTTTAAAAACTTAATAATAAAATAAATTGCATTAATGGCTTCTACTTCACTTCAATTCCGCCTAGTACCTGCTGCTTTTCGTTTAAATCTAATTTAATATTTAAATTTTTTAAATGCTTAATTTATTCAAAATTTTACAGACATTTTGCCTTAAAATACTAAAGTTTAAATTTTATTGGTATTGAAATTTTGAATTTGATATTTATTTCAAAAATATTAAGTGACAAGTGATTCTAATAGCAAGCAGCTAGTAAACAAATTAAGCAGACCAATAATATAATCCGTTTCATACGAAACGGACTACGCCATTGGTTTGCTGTTTAGCAGCTTATCACTTAGAAGCAGCCAATATTTTTTAAATTGTAAAATTTATAATAAATTAATACGTGTATATTACATTACACTTCATTGTGAGAAATAATCAAATAACTTTTATATTGATATTTTCAATTAAAATATAATAAATAAAATTGTGTGTGGCACCATCTGTTAAGAGATTTTGTTATAAAAACTTTCTTTATTTTTAATTATTATCGAATTGAAAAAAAAAAAAACTTAATTTTGAGGGTAGTGATCGGTTTCGTAAAAAATTGTATCAATAGATGCTAATAACGGGTAACATCATTAATTCCTACCATACTCGAGATATGACACATGACTCCTTCTATCTCCCCATCCCGTTGACCTTTCACTACCTTTGGACGGCCGAATGGTCAAGGTGGCAGCCTACCGTACTGGTGCTGTGTTGGGTATTACTTGATTAATATTAGTCTCTGAATTGAAATGTGTATTAGTCGAATAATTTTTAAATCACGACTAATAATGAATGACTAGACTGATGAATAATAGCTTCTCGGCAAACGGCAAACCCAAAGCCGTGATTTACTTTATTGGGTTGCAATTTTCATATTGCCAGAACTATACGTTCCCATTTTGTCCGTTCACTACATGTCTGTCTGTCTATTCATCTGTCTGCCTGTCGTATATTTTGTTCTTAAATTTCTATATATGAATGTGCGTTACAGTTATTAGTTTGTTTAGGTAAGTTTTCTTTGTTTATTTTATTCTGCTTTTCGAAATTCTTTTGTGCCGCTACAAAATGCAGATCGTTTTTCTCTATAAAGTGAATTAAATTTTGCATAAGTAACGATACCTATAAATATTTATTTCTTTTAACTAAAATCCATTTTTTAAAAAATAATTAATAAAGATTTACGTTGAATAGTACGGATCCAGACACCGTAACAGAATATGCTAGCACATAAATCTTTATTTTAAATACTTCAGTTGTGACAGGTTTTGACCAATAGGGGCGAGCGAGTTAACGGCGCTTTTGCTTTATTCTTCTTGTATTAAAAAAACTTTGCAGATTGGATGCATTTTTAGAGATGAACCGGCAACGCGACAACGTGCGAACAAGTTGCCAAGTATGGAGATTTGGAAACGATTTTTTATGCAATTTTAAATTTATTCAAGTTATATTCGAATTTTCCCTTCTAAAAACAGGGCCTGAGTCAGACCAAGGCGAATTACATAATTACAATTGTCTGGAGCCCGTAAAGCGACTTGTAAAGTTAATTTTTTCGTATTTGAATTTTAAATAGGGAATATTCCCTAAACCGATGAGCTTTCAGGCTTTCATTTATTATCGACCCCTGTAGAATACGGAATAAATTTACTCAGTAAACCTCATAGATTGTAAAGAAAATAAATTTTAAACCCCTATATTCATAGAAATTGAATTTAATATAATAAAAATAAACTTAAGAATATATTTCGTAGATAATTTACTGATTCATAAAATGTTTAAAGGTGTAGAACTTATTAATCAAGTAAACAAAAACGCTGTAAATATATATTTTATATGAGAGTTTCTTCATTTAACAAATTATAAATTATTTAAAATGTTTTTTTTTTTTATTCGTCTATATTATTTAACTGTCATTCATTAACAGATGTCTGAGTGAAGAGTAAATTTCAGGCTGAATTAATCGCTTGTTATCTATACATTGGATAATTTGAAAGGTAGTAGGTAAATATATTCTTATCTTAGAAAAGTAATAACAATGCACATTTTGAGTTTTCAGAATAGGAAGAGTGATATTAGAAGAAACATGAAAATCATTTTAATTCTGTTATTAATTAAATTTTTTGTAAAGAATTGTATAAATGATCGCTCAGTTATTTACTGCGATTGGTATGATATGGATGAATTTGAAAATCATATAAAATCAGTTGACAGATGGAAAGTTGAAACTTTTACTTTGGAGAACTGTCATTTTCCAGCCCTTCCAGAGTATATTTTTGAAGATATCAAGGTGAACAGAATAGAATTTTCTGACGTGATTTTGCCATTTCTCGGTCCTCCTTTGAGCAAAACGTCTCCTTTTAGAGGTTTAGAACACAGCTTAGAGGAATTCGTAATGAAAAACGTTTCGTACTTATATAATTGGAATTGGTCTTTACTCTCGGATCTTCATCACCTAACAAAATTGACAGTGACAAAAAGCAAAGTTTTGCGTATCAATAAGAGCTTCTCTTCGATTTCTAACAGTTTACTAAAAATCGAAATGACCGAATGCAAGATTAAACGTATAGATGATGGATCGTTTAAATCGTTCTGCAATCTTAAACAGTTAAATTTGAATAAAAATCAATTGACGTCTTTAAAAAGATCTTATTTGCCTAATCCGGCTACAGAATTAAATTTAATTGATATCAGGTAGGTTGAACTTTTTCAAAAATTTTTTATAAATTTTATATAAAATTATTTTTAAGATGTATTAAATAATTATATTTTAAATCAAATTTTCAATTGGAGTAACTATTGTTAAATAAGTATTTTTGTAGTATGAATTGATGAAAACAGTTACTCAGTTTATTCATAGAATTACTGTATGTAAAGTACATTATGTATAATCCATATATCTTCTCTACGCAATAACTACTATTAAGAGGCTTAAAATAGAATAAACCGCAATCCTGACCTATATAAAAAAGCTGGCAACATTGTTGCTAGACTTTATTTTCATCCCTGATAATTTTTACCATTACCTTTACGTCTTTAGATTGGTTCCGGAAATCAAAAGAGTGTAGAGCCATAACTCCCGAACCAATGGTTCAATTTTCCTGAAAATTTCTAGAGACATTTTCTCCTAACACACAAACATTTTGTAGAATTTCATAAACTTTTGTCAAATGGCATAGAGGTTATTAATGTTCAAAGTGGGGGTGAACAAAATCTTGTCTCCCATAAGCACACTTCATATTAACGCATACAGAAAAACACCCTAAATTTTTTCATTTCTCGATGTTTCAATGTGCCCCGAGTCAAAAGATGTAAATTCAACCCGACAGTCAGATTCAGCGGCTGAGTTTTCAAAGGTGAAACTAATTGCCGCTGCAGAGAACCTACTTTTAATGGAGAATGTAAAAGATTAAGTCTACGTCGANTTTGAAAAGCAAAAGTTTCATTGCCTGAAAGATAGAGCATGCTATAACTTTTTAATTGTAAGAATTAAAAACTGGCCAATGCGAGCGCTCATATCTACTAGTGGTCGCGTGAATCTCTGATAGCACTTCCAGAGAAGTCATGTGATTGGTCAGTCCGGAAGGATCATCGTGTGTTTTTGGGAGCAAGGAGAGAGTGCAAAAGTTGTCATGTCTTGGAAAGAGAGAATAATCCATATCCATTGAGTAAATGTTAGACCAATTAACGACATCAACGCCTTATATGATTGGTGCTGGAATTCAGATTTTTTTGTCTAAAAAATTAGTTTTGTGGTTTAGTAGTGTCAGTCCATAAATAAAATATTATAACATTTAATCTGTTTAATAAATCTCCTATTATATTTAATAAGCTATATCATGTTGTTATACACCTTGTCAGCAAACTAAAACTTTACCACAAATAGTCTATAGCAGTGGCGTAGCGTAGTGGGGGCGGCAAAATTTCACAATAAATAATAATAATATCTTGTAAAAATTTGAACCATTTTATCCCATAGTCTCGTCGCACCTACGATTCGGACCGATTGAAATGAGCATGGAATAGTCCGGGAATTGACTCACCGTGTGCACAGCTCTGTCACCCCCTTGTTTTTTGCTTGTACGATTCATTTGTTTTCATATACACCTCCAATATTCAATGGAGCTATTTTGAACAGGTGGCTACACTGGCAAGGAAATTTTCATTACTTGTTCTTCTGTTACGAAACTGAATTTTAGTCTTTTAAATTGAGATACCTAAATAACGGGACGGCGAAATTTTCCTCCGTCCCGGGCGGCTGACACCCACGCTACTCCGCTGGTCTATAGACTAGTACTGATCTGAGAACCATGTTTTAATGTTGTAATTTAAACGGGGTTAATTAAAACCACTTTAATGATTCATACTGCAAACATTTTGGAATAAGTGTTAAATATTAAAGCAGTTTATATACTGGACCAGTTGTGTTAGTAGACAAGGAACAATGAAGATGACCGAACAAGTTAAATTCATTCTGAAATCTCCATGGTATTTAAAAAGGAATTACTTTTACAGCTAGCGTTTTTATGTGTGTGAATTTTTATGCAGTTAGTTGAAGTTAAGAGAATAATCATTTTTTATAGTAAATTTTGTACTGTTCCGCCCTGTTTATACCGAAAAATCAAGATGCGTTGTCTCTCCTCTCTATTTAGGAGTGATGACGCTAATTTCATATATATTTTAATATAAGTGGAGGGCCGAGGGGGGGGGAGAAATTTAAAAAACGGGGTTAACGATAACATACGATATATATATCGTCATCGTCTCCATTGCCATCTGGATTGCCAAGCGGTAACAATCAACGTCATGTGGGAGCAGTTGAGTCAGAGATAGATGCCTCGTTTACAAACAACACAACCCGTTTATTAGACAAGTTACTTACAAAAAGTTCATAGTCACGAAGGGTTTAAATCCTTGTATAGTTCGGCGCGTAGTCTTCAAAGAAGAAGAAGAAAGTCCGGTGACAAAGGTGGTTTCCTTTCGCTGGCCGGATGTTGCATTCTAAGACAAGTTGTCGAACAGGAAACGATATCTGGTGAATGCAGATCGGAATTTCCAAAGTTTCTCTCAATGAAGGTCTATAACTTTCAGAGGATACATCGGCTAAGGACGAAGGTGGAACCTTGCGAGAAGCATCCCAGCTAAGGATATAGCCTCACGGGACGCCACGTCAAAGAACCAAGTATCCTTGTGGCCAGGGCTTAAATATCTTTTCGTCTCGCAAATCGTCACTTTATTGGCTATTAATCCCCTTTCACGGTCCCAGATTGGTCAATCTGTTACCAGGTGAAATTAGACCAGATCGGTTCCCGAGAAAAACGAGGTTCGTCTTTCGTTCGGTGTTGAATAAACCTTGTACCTTAACTAACATTTTATTTTTTGTTCGTCTGGTCTTATAAAGAATTTAATTTACTAATTTTTCTCTCTTTTTTGCGTGGTTTTAATACAAAAATAATTTTATTTTTCTCCTTTTCCTTTAAAATGTAATTCCCTTAATTTTAATTAATCGTGAAGATCAAGATTCGTTTTTGTTTTGATATATGGCTAAAAGAATGTTTTTCATCCCAGCCCAGGACCTCACATAAGGGGAGGTATTGTACATACTCTAATACTATTTTAATTGTGGTATTTTATAATTATAGGATAAACTATCGCTTATTAGATTACATGTACAAATACAGTATTAGTATAAATATCTTATACATATTTGTTGTAATTAATTTTCTATTATCATGTCTTTAAAAATAATATTTTTCCTGAAGAGATTAACAATTATAGAATGTTCTACTATAATTCATTCTTTAATGTGTCCCATATTATTGGATACAGAACGGTTTTCCGAAATGCGCACCCTTTCCCTCGATTTACCTTATACTAAGATATCCATTTCCTTGTTTTGGGTCCTTTTTAGTATAAACTTAAGATACTTCAACAACATCTTTAAGCATCTTGAAAAAGTATAGAATTTTTCAACTTTTTAATATTTACTCTGTTTTATTTTACACATTGTCATAAAATTTTGTCAATCAAGTTTTCAGAAGTTATTGCATAGCTTTGTTTTTATCATGATCTAATATACTTATTTAAATAATACTGTATTAGATACTCGGTTAAAAATTAAATTTCTGATAAGTCAATAATAACAATATTAAGAAAATGTTTACTAAATTTTTGGAAAAGTTTTTATTATGATTAATTTTGAAATTATGATGATATGAGAATCGGAACGGATATTATATAATTAAATAATAAAATATAGAGTTTAATAAATCGGTCTAGAAAACGGCCCTAATCTGGATCATATTCCAAGAGATTTCCTCCATCAAAAACTTTCTTTAGACAACTAAATTATTCTCCCTTAAATTGTTTATCGAATTAGCGTGAGAAAATATTTTTTTACGTGTTTTCATTAATGGAAAACACATCTATCACTTTTGTGCCAAAAGGGAAAATCAACTTCCCTTTCACAGGTTCTTAACTCCAACTTAGACACCATCTGTGTATCTACCCCCTCTGTACATCCCGTTAGCGGACATAAACTTAAAATCTATGACTCGTACTGGACGAAACTGGCGATAAAATGAGCGATTTTCCGCCATTCGGGACTGTCAACAGAAATATGACATTGCCATAGAGGAAGTTCTCGAAAAATATTCTGGTTTGCACAACTACGAGTTCAGCGTCTTCATCCTCCTCCATGACCCTCGTCCTCCAAAACAATTCGCCGCCTTCGCTTCATCATAGAATAAGAAGACCGAGACCAAGAGCTACTGTCGAAATACTATGTCTAAGTTGTTGTAAGCTCTCTCTCTCGCGAATAGATAAGGGTCTTTATGTATCAATTGTTGTTTTTTTCCTTATATTTTGTCCTCATTAAATTTTGTTTCCTTTTTGATTTAAATGGTCTCGTTATTGAACTCAACTCAACGCCAGTCTTATCACGGGTCCACGATCCCTCCCTTTCGGAAAAGTATTTAAATTTAATCATCAGCATGTCTAACACTCTAATTAGGCTGGTGTCAGGAAAAACTGACAGGTAGCTCGTAAGAACTTCCTGTCCCCCAAATCATATACTACTAAAACCCATTCTAGTGACCTTGCGGGCGGATCTTCCTGATCTGAAGCCAAACAAGAGTGAGAAACAGCTTTCTCAACTCCGGATTACCAAAATTATAAAAAATTAATATAATTTATCATAACCAAATCAAGAAATCTTTCCCCTTTGCAATTCGTAAATCTATACTTACAAGAGAACTTTCCGCATTTATTTTTGTTAACAATTATTATTTATCGAGTAGTTAGAAATTAATAATATTATCACCCTTTTATCGAACTCGTGATTTTCAAAAATCTTTTACATTTGTACACATTCCTACGTCATTCTTATTCCTGCTAAATTGATACTCATGAATACAACTTTAATAATAATAATACTCGAGTTGTATTAAGTATAAAATTTTAATAAAATTAAAACTTCGAAATAAAAAAGTTTTAATGAAAACTCACTAAAGAACTAAAGAAAATATGCTCTGGAAGCTTTGGAAGATGCGAATCCTCAAAGTAAAATTCTCATCTTTCTGCAAACCGAATTATCAAACTCATTTTATTATCAATGCCATTCACTTTGCGGAAAACGGAAGATTTATCGTTACATTTGCAGTGAATTTTTCGCAAAAAGTAATCATTTTATTCTTACAAAATATAGAACTTCAAGAGAACTGAAATTATTTTCATGTTTCTTATTCTAACGTTATTCGTCCTATTCCGGAAGCTAAAAATTCAAATTGTTAAGATAAGAATAAATTTAATCAGTTATCTTTCAATTTACCGTTGGCTACCATAGAGATAAAAGATGAATTTAACAACTGCAACTTATGGTTTTACTTCAACATGTATTTTTAATGAATAATGTTACGTTTATTCAAAATAACTTAACACCCACATAAGGGGAGGTATTGTACATACTCTAATACTATTTTAATTGTGGTATTTTATAATTATAGGATAAACTATCGCTTATTAGATTACATGTACAAATACAGTATTAGTATAAATATCTTATACATATTTGTTGTAATTAATTTTCTATTATCATGTCTTTAAAAATAATATTTTTCCTGAAGAGATTAACAATTATAGAATGTTCTACTATAATTCATTCTTTAATGTGTCCCATATTATTGGATACAGAACGGTTTTCCGAAATGCGCACCCTTTCCCTCGATTTACCTTATACTAAGATATCCATTTCCTTGTTTTGGGTCCTTTTTAGTATAAACTTAAGATACTTCAACAACATCTTTAAGCATCTTGAAAAAGTATAGAATTTTTCAACTTTTTAATATTTACTCTGTTTTATTTTACACATTGTCATAAAATTTTGTCAATCAAGTTTTCAGAAGTTATTGCATAGCTTTGTTTTTATCATGATCTAATATACTTATTTAAATAATACTGTATTAGATACTCGGTTAAAAATTAAATTTCTGATAAGTCAATAATAACAATATTAAGAAAATGTTTACTAAATTTTTGGAAAAGTTTTTATTATGATTAATTTTGAAATTATGATGATATGAGAATCGGAACGGATATTATATAATTAAATAATAAAATATAGAGTTTAATAAATCGGTCTAGAAAACTTCCCATTCATCTGTGAGTCGGCAACTAAACAATCTTTATTGCTCTATGACCAATTGAACTTTTTTTTCTACTTTGAAAAGCAAAAGTTTCATTGCCTGAAAGATAGAGCATGCTATAACTTTTTAATTGTAAGAATTAAAAACTGGCCAATGCGAGCGCTCATATCTACTAGTGGTCGCGTGAATCTCTGATAGCACTTCCAGAGAAGTCATGTGATTGGTCAGTCCGGAAGGGTCATCGTGTGTTTTTGGGAGCAAGGAGAGAGTGCAAAAGTTGTCATGTCTTAGAAAGAGAGAATAATCCATATCCATTGAGTAAATGTTAGACCAATTAACGACATCAACGCCTTATATGATTGGTGCTGGAATTCAGATTTTTTTGTCTAAAAAATTAGTTTTGTGGTTTAGTAGTGTCAGTCCATAAATAAAATATTATAACATTTAATCTGTTTAATAAATCTCCTATTATATTTAATAAGCTATATCATGTTGTTATACACCTTGTCAGCAAACTAAAACTTTACCACAAATAGTCTATAGCAGTGGCGTAGCGTAGTGGGGGCGGCAAAATTTCACAATAAATAATAATAATATCTTGTAAAAATTTGAACCATTTTATCCCATAGTCTCGTCGCACCTACGATTCGGACCGATTGAAATGAGCATGGAATAGTCCGGGAATTGACTCACCGTGTGCACAGCTCTGTCACCCCCTTGTTTTTTGCTTGTACGATTCATTTGTTTTCATATACACCTCCAATATTCAATGGAGTTATTTTGAACAGGTGGCTACACTGGCAAGGAAATTTTCATTACTTGTTCTTCTGTTACGAAACTGAATTTTAGTCTTTTAAATTGAGATACCTAAATAACGGGACGGCGAAATTTTCCTCCGCCCCGGGCGGCTGACACCCACGCTACTC